AGGGACACAGAATTTTTTACGGGGGACAAAGAATTGTTACCCGGGGACACAGAATCGTTAAATTTAAAAGGGTATGTCAACAACACGCAAGGAGGGGCCGAGGGGGCAATGTTTTAGGGAGCGACAACGTGGCACCCAAGGAAGGGGTCCGGCAGCACTATCCGCACCAAGGCCGTGTCCCGGTGTCATCCAGGGGGTCCGTTCCCCAACCGCAACCCTGCCGCACAAATTGGTTGGCTCAGTGGGTTTTCCTCTTCCCAGTCCCTCGGGACACCTCCCAAGCCAACGGGGGTTGTGTAGGGCAAAACAAAACCCGGGTTATTTGGCAGGGCCCGGGGACCCAACCCAAACTGAAATCACTTCCCAAAACCTCCCCCCTTTTGCCCTTTTGCTGTTCCCCCCCCCAAACGAAGAAACCGCATGCTGGGGGCTCCCCCACGGGTACATGAAAAAAACTAAAAAAGGGGGCGGTCAGGAAGGGGGGCCCGGAGCAAGCCCACGGGAAAATCACATGTCCTCAAACCTGCCCCTGTCCTTTGCTTTTCCCCCCACCAAGCGAAGTACGCATGCGGGGGGGTTTCAGCCCCACTGTACTTGGGGGAAGAGCTAACAGGGGGCGGCAGGAACGGGGGGAGACATCCCCCCCACTCCTTTCAGCACCCTGGGGCGAAGAAGTACTGGAGGAGAGGGGCTGGGTAGCCGGTCTAGAGACGGGTCTGCCCCGGACCCACACGCAGCCGGGGGCTATTGTAGGCGGAACCCCTAATTGATGATGGGGAGGCTGATCGCACTTGGCAGCCTCGCGTAAACCGGGCCAATTTCTTTTTCCGCTTCATCAGGAAAGGGGGTTTTGCCGTTGGCCGAGCAAAACAGTCGGTGGGGGGCCCCAGGAGGCAGCGGGGTTCGCAGCAGGTCAGGGGAGCCAAACGGAAAGGGGAAAACACCCCCTCCACTCAGCCTACCACCCCCCAGTAGTGGCCCCCGGGTCGCCCGGGGGAATACGGGCACCCAATGAGGAGTAGGGGGGCAAAGTTTTCCCTCGGGGGTGTGGCTTTTTTTTCCTCAACCGCCCGAGGAAGAAAAACGAGCCTTTATGTCACTTTTGGGCCAGAAATCAAGCGGTGCCAGGGGCCCATGTTGGGACTACAGAGTTTGCGTCAGCATATGCAGCGTCGCCATTTGGTGGCCTGGGAAAATCCGAAAAATACGGCGTTCTGCCTGCCCCAGCCCCCGCTCCATCACCACGCTCCGTTACTTGCGCCCGTCACCCACGTCAAAAGCCGCCCTCTATCACCCTCAACTCCAACACCTCGGCTGAGGGGAGTTGCGCTCGTTGGCATCTCCGCTCGTTCAGATTTTCCCTTCTCCTCTACTCCTCTTCAACGTATTTCGTCAGCAGTCTTTCTTGGAATCCGATATCACGAGACAACATTTGCAGCACGCAACCGACGGTGGCAAAAGCTGAACGACCTCCTGTCCAAGTTAGCTGGTGCTGCAAGTCCCCCGCCTTTCCAATGTGGTGGATCTCAGCACCTTTCCGAGAAATGAATGGCTTGTGCCGCGCCGCGGTGGAGAGTGCCAAGCCGGCATTTCTTCGCCAAAAAGGCAGTGCCAGCCCTGCATTCACATGTAGAAGAGATGGTGGGCCAGTCTTTGAGCATGTCGGTCCTCTACCAAAGTGCACGGCAGCGCCGACGTGTGGAGCTGTAACTACGGTCAGGGACAGTACATGTCATTTACGGCCCACTGGGTGAACGTGGTGCCGGCACAGCCGCACCAGCAACTTGGACAGGTCACGACGCTTTTGCCTCCACGATTGCACGTCCTTGGTCCAGCAAAGATGTCCGCCTCTACCACCTCTTCTTCCGCCGTGTCCTCACCGCCACCCCCGTGCCAAGTCCCATTACCCGACCGGCATATCACATGTGCAGGGCGCAACGGTGTCACGCTGTGCTGCACCTGGTATGCCTTGGCGAACGTAGTCACACAGGGGGAGGAACTTCTGAGTGTAATGAACAGAGAAATCGACAGATGGCTGTCTCCGCGCAAACTGAAAATCGGAACCATGTTGACCGACAACGGAAAGAACATGGTGTCTGCTCTGCTCAAGGAAGGTTGTGCCATGCGCCATGCATGGCTCACGTGTTCAATCTGGTTGTCAAGCGGTTCCTAAAATCCACCATCCCCCTGACTGCAAGACATCCTTAAAATGTCACGTAAACTTTGCATGCATTTCAGCCATTCCTACACCGCAAAGCACACCCTCCTTGAGCTGCAGCGGCAGAACGGAATTCCACAGCATCGCCTGATCTGCGACGTTGCAACAAGGTGGAATTCAACCCTACACATGTTAGAACCGCCTTTACGAACAGCGAAAGGCCATCACTGATTTCCTGATGTTACAAGCGGATAAAGGTACTCCCCTGTGTAACTTCGATGTCAGCCATTGGCAGCTCATGCGTGACACCTGCCGCTTGCTCAGGCCCTTTGAGGAGGCCACGCTATTCGTGAAGTCGGCAGGACTATGGATGAACGACGTCATTCCTCTGTTGCACGTCCTGGAACAAATGCTGTTAACAATGGCTGGTCAGGGTGCGGTAGACGTGGCGCACAGATCTCAACGCCACATGACCCCTGTGGGGGCAGGACAGGAAGAAGAGGAGGAGGTAGAGGAGGACATTGGTGCTCAGGAATTATTGAGTGAAATGGGTGGTTTTTTCCACTCAGCGGACAGGAGTGGAGGAGCAGGCATTCTGGTAGAGGAGGAGGAGACAGAGGACCCAGACGCACCGCCGTGTGCAGTATGCTGTGGAGATGGAGGCAGGGAGTCCCTCGCATTCCTTGGCACAAATGGCCCATAGCATGCTCGTTGCTTGCGTAGCGACAGCCGAATAATAACCATCAGACAGAGGGATGACTTTTGGCTGTCCACCTTGTTGGACCCTCGCTACCCGTTCCAAAATGGTGGCCTTTTTTCACACCTGCTGAGAGGGAGGCCAAAATAACGTACTATAAAAACCACCTATGTAGTCAGTTGGTCTCTGCCTGATGATGAGTAGCTTTCTTCACTGGCACCAGTGCAGTGAGGAAACTACTAACCAACCGCAGCAGCAGCAGTAGCTCAGGTGGACCTGGAGCAGGAGCTCAAACAACAGGCTTGGGCCTACTTGGACAGCACCCTGCCAACCGAGGTAGACAATCCCCTTGACTACTGGGCAACGAAACTTGACCTTTGGCCCCAACTAGCTGAATTTGCCCTTGAAAGGCTGTCATGCCCGGCCAGTAGCGTTGGCATCGGAGCGCGTGTTTAGTGTGCAGGAGGTATTGTAACTCCGCGGAGGACACGACTGTCCACCCAAAGTGTGGAGAGACTCACGTTTGTGAAAATGAATCAGGCGTGGATTAGTCTGGATTTCAAACCACCAGTTCCTGACACAACTGAGTAAATCCGCCATGAATCAAAAGCATGTGCCACTTTCAGGTCTCCTCACACTGCTGGTGGGTTCCATTTTGTCATAGGGTGCTGGCAGATTACGGCCTCCCATTGCTGCTGCCAGGCCCCTAATCTGCCATGGGCCCCTGTAACCACCGCCTCCTCATGCTGCTGCCAGGTCCACAGTGTGTCATGGGTCCCTGTACGACCTCCCATTGCTGCTGTCTCCATCGCCACACTCTGCCATGTGCCACTTTCAGTCTCCTCACACTGCTGCTGGTTCCATTTTGTCATAGCGGGCTGGCAGATTACGGGCCTCCCATTGCTGCTGCCAGGCCCCTAATCTGCCATGGGTGCCCCCGTACCTTGCCTCCTCACGCTGCTGCCAGGTCCACAGTGTGTCATGGGTCCCTGTATGGCCTCCCATTGCTGCTGTCCTCCATCGCCACACTCTGCCATGTGCCACTTTCAGGTCTCCTCACACTGCTGCTGGGTTCCATTTTGTCATAGGGTGCTGGCAGATTACAGCCTCCCATTGCTGCTCGCCAGGCCCTAATCTGCCATGGGCCCCTGTACCGCCTCCTCATGCTGCTGCCAGGTCCACAGTGTGTCATGGGTCCCTGTACGGCCTCCCATTGCTGCTGTCTCCATCGCCCACACTCTGCCATGTGCCACTTTCAGGTGTCCCTCACACTGCTGCTGGGTTCCATTTTGTCATAGGGTGCTGGCAGATTATAACGGCCTCCCATTGCTGCTGCCAGGCCCCTAATCTGCCATGGACCCCTGTACCCCCGCCTCCTCATACTGCTGCCAGGTCCAGGAGTGTGTCATGGGTCCCTGTAACGGCCTCCCATTGCTGCTGTCTCCATCCTGCCACACCTCTGCCATGTGTCCACTTTCAGGTCTCCTCACACTGCTGCTGGGTTCCATTTTGTCATAGGGTGCTGGCAGATTACGGCCTCCCCGATGCTGCTGCCAGGCCCCTAATCTGCCATGGGCCCCTGTACCGCCTCCTCATGCTGCTGGCCAGGTCCACAGTGTGTCATGGGTCCCTGTATACCGCCTCCCATTGCTGCTGTCTCCATCGCCACACTCTGCCATGTGCCACTTTTCAGGTCTCCTCACACTGCTGGTGGGTTCCATTTGTCATAGGGTACTGTATGGCCTCCCATTGCTGCTGCCCTCCACCGCCACACTGTGGCTCCACACTCTGGTTTTGGCCTCGTGACTGCCCAAATGATGAAGTGTGCGGTGATTCTAAGATCGCGCCGGCACTCATCTGCATGTCATACTGACTGACAGTATTATTTCTCTCCCCAGCAGACTCCAAGGGCATTTAAATTAAAGGTAAGTGTTCTGCACTAATATATTCGACTCGAATCAATTTTTTTCACGAAGTTCGCCGAATCAGTCGAATCGAATTTTTGAATAATTTGCTCATCTCTAGTCCCCAATATTTACCTCCAATCCCCACCTTGGATATACCACATATCCATGACATCTTGCCACTTTCAGACATTGTTTGGCTGGCCTTCGCATTAACTTCTCAAAAAGCGAAATTTTGCATCTCTACCACACAAGACCACCACCTTGGGCATCTTCCAACATACTAAAACTAGCCACTCATCATATCACTTATCTGGGGATTAAAATTGGAAAAACTACCTCTTCCCTTTACTCACTTCAACTTTACACCAATAATCACTAAAATTCTGGCTGAATTGGACATGTGGCGGGTCTGCCCCTCACGCTCCTTGGGGAGAGCTCATCTTTTTAAAATGGCGACTTTCCCAAAACTACTTTATCCACTTTAAACCATTCCTCTACTCATACTCCGACATGGAGACGTAACCAAACTAAACACAGCTCTTTCAAAATTTCTCTGGAAGGGTCGCCGTCCACGCATAGCTTTGCACAAACTCTATCTCCCGAGGAACGAGGCGGGGTCAGGCCTTCCCAACATTCGCATATACAACCTTGCCATGTCTCCTACGCATCAGTCTAGACTGGCTATCCAAGTAGTCTACTTACTCTAACTACCAGCTAGAATCTGACATGGTACACCCGCACAATTTAGCTGCTATTTTACACTGCAATATAAATCAGCTTCCTACTTCCTTGAAAAACAACCCTCTTTTACGCGACACTTTGGTGGCCTGGAGAGAAATCAGACGCAAATTGGGAGTATCCCCATAGGTTTCCCGCTACCTCCCCCTATCCATGGTAATCCATCTTTCCCTCATCCACAACAATACGCGGCCTACGCTAAATGGCAAGCGCAAAATCTTACACTTGTGTCTCAGCTCTTTGACACTTCCTCCAACAAACCTAAACCAATCTTGCTGACTCTAGGGAGCCTGGACTTGCCCTCACACCATTTTATATATGCAGTGCAAGTAATCAACTTTGTTAAGTCACTAGCTCCTGACAAGCCTTCTCTTTTTCAAACTACACTGGTTGACACTCTGTTGAGCAGAGGCAAGTTCAAGATTTCAGATATTTACTCTCCACTTAACCTTATTTTTATTAAACATTTAGAGTCTACATCTGTGACCTCACGGGCTAAAGACTTCCAGGACTTGCTTACTGTGGATCAAATTTTGGCAGGCTTTAACACCACATGTGCCTTTGTTACGAACGAATTCTGGCGGGAACAACATTTGAAAATTATGCATTGGGTCTACATGCCTTGCTCTTTTCTCCAAATCTGCATCAAACACCACTCAATGTCCTCTCTGCTTTTGTAACCTACCAAGCCTTAAACACAGATTTGGACTTGCCATCCTATCTCCAAATTTTGGGACCAAGTGCTGTCTTTCATTAAATTTGTGACAGGAGTTAAACTCCCTAAATCTCCAATACATCTACTATTCTGCAATTTGGACTCTACCCTATTCATACTTCACAGGGGCCTCAACTCACTTCTTCAACAAAACAAGTCCTAGATATCTACTTGCCTCCTGATGGCAAGGCGAGCCATCCTGAAAAATTGGGTAGATGGTACACCTCCAACGTATCTGATATCAGAAAAGATCTCATCTGCCTTCTTCAGACAGACAAACTTGATCTTTTCTCATCCTGTCCAAACAAATCGGACTCTTTCGCACGAAAATGGCAAATATATGTATCAAGAACATTCTCTCTATCTGAACAAAGTAGCCTCCACTTACAGCCCCCTCCAGAACATTGTCTCCACTTCTGACTAAAATGTATTGTCAATATATTTATTAGAGCATTAGTGGTCCTGAGATCGCTCTGCTTGACGGAGGTCAACCAGTCCAGATTTTAAATTTTTAACTTGTCATAGGAGCGTGAGGCCAGTGAGATACACCCTTCTCCCTCCCCTTCAAGGACTCGCCAACAACTTGCTACTTAGATGTTCTAATGGAAGTTTTGGATATATTTATTTATATGTCTTTATGTATCCCTCTCTAAATCCACACGTCAGTGATCAGAGGATTCCTTTTTCACTCCCTTTCTAGCTCATATCTTTTCTTTATTCCCTCCCCCCCACCCTCTCTTCTCCCCCTTCCCCCTCCCCCCTTCCTCCCTCCCCTCCCCCCCCCCCCCACTTCTTACACCCTCTGCTGTATCTCCTTGGTTTTGTCTTTCTTTTATGCCCCCTTTCTACATTTGTACTATGTATTGTGGAAATATATAGATCTTGATGTAAACTCCGGCCTCCTCACTCCACCGCACATTGGAAAGCGGAACATAGTAATGTTATATGTACACCATCTGTAATGTCTAACCAGTCATCAACGCCATCTTTTCTACCATATATGTAACACCGTGCAAATGATGTAACTGTTTTCTTTTATTGACATAAAACCCAATAAATATTTCTTTAAAAAAAAAAAAAAAAAAAGACATTAATTTAGCTGTGGTATCACTACCGCCACTGAATGACAGATCCTGACAGGTTGTGTCAGGGAATGTGCATATCTATGCGCAGGTGCAGAACCCCTGTTAGCCCTGCTCATGGCCGATTAGCGAATGCTCATGCACGCAAGTGCTCATGCGCATGTGCATGGCACATTGGCACCAGGGGGGCTATTTAAGCTGGGCTAGTGCCTTGCATTAGTGCCGTTTGGTCTATTACTTTTGAGCACCCGTGCATCCTGTTACCTGTGATTCCGTTGCCGATCTCACCTGTTATTGATCCTGCTTGAACACTGCACTGCACCGACCCCTGGCCAGCCCTTTGTCTATTCTTCTGCCTGCCGTTTCTGCTTACTCTGCCTGTTAGTTGCCAACCCGGACCGCCTGACCTTGCCTTACTCTACTCCTGCACACCTGAA